ATACGACTTCAATGTTACATTTCCTTCTATGCACCACACATCAATAACCTTTACTAATTTAGTTCATAATACCAAAACAGTCTCTATAATTTGTCTTGTACATCCATAATTAAAAATAAGAAATAACGTAAATAAATTTTAATGCTCAAAATGTCAATTATTCAACCATCAAAACATCAATCGTAATAGTACGGATTACTCAAAAGACCTAACCTTACAACATGGTCTAGATATGTCTTTGGAGGTAATCCTTTAGTCAATGGATTAACAATCATAAGTATGGTACTAATATTTTCAATCGACACTTGTTGTTTTTGAACTCTTTCTTTAACAACTAAATACTTTAAATCTATGTAATTAGATCCACTATAATATTTGTCATTCTTAAAAAAGAAAATAGTTGCGATACTATCACAAAATATTCTTAGCGGTTTGACAATAGAGTCAACAACACCAGACCCTAAAATGAAATTTCACAACCACAAAGCATGACTTGAGGCTTCAAAACACGCTATAAACCCAACCTCCATTATGGATGAGGCAATAACGGACTATTTTACACTATTCCACAAAATTACCTCATTTGCTAGCATAAAGACAAAACCTGAAGTAGACTTTAAGTTATCACGACAACCACCATAGTATGAGTTCGAGTATCCAATCACTTCTAATTGTTATGATCTTTTATATGTAAGCATATAACCTTTTATCCCTTGAAAATACCTCATAACCCTATTTGTAGTTTTACAGTGTTCAATTTTTAAATCACTTTGACTTCTTCCCAACATACCAATAGCATAATTGATATCTGATCTAATACAGGTTTGAACATACATCAAACTTTCTATAGCAGATGCATAAAGAATATTCTTCATCCACTTCCTTTCTAAGTCATTCATTAGGCAATAACTTTTACTTAATTTGTTACCTTTAAGAATGGGTGCAACACTGGCTAAACACAACCGCATACTGAATCTCTTTAAAACTTGGTTAATATATTATTTATGAGAGAACTTGAGAACTATATTTGAAGATTTCTATTCCAATTACATAAGTTGCCTTACCCATATCAACCATCTAAAAGTTTTTAGAGAGATATTTTTTAATTTCGTATAACAAACCAATATCACTACTATCTAGCAAAATATCATCCACATATAGTATTAGAAATATAAACTTACTCCCACTAATTTTCACATATATGCATTGATCAACAAAGTTTTCCTTAAATCTAAAAGATGTAATGGTATCATTAAACTTTATACACCATTTTCTGAAAACTTGTTTAAGACCATAAATGGATTTCTTTAATTTGAAAGCTAAATGTTCTTTTTCTTTTTTTGTGAACTCTTCATGTTATTCCATATAAATATCTTCATCCAAATTTTCATTCAAGAAAGCAGTTTTTACATTCATTTGATATAACTCTAAATCAAAATATGCTATAAGTGCCATAATGATTCTTAGGGAGTCATTTTTAAAAATTAGAGAGAATATATCTCTATAATCTATACTTTCCTTTTAAATAAAACATTTGGCTACTAGTCTGCCATTAAATAGTTCGATAATGCCATTAACATCGCGTTTGGTCTTGAAGACCCATTTACAATCGACACTTTTACAATTATTAGATAATTCGATAATATCACAGAAATCATTATGGTCCATAGACTTCAACTCTTCTTTCATATACTATATCCATTTATTAAAATTATCATTTTCCATAGCTTGTGAAAATGTAACCGGATCTGTTCTTATTCTAATATCAAAATAAGATTTTTATAGATATATCACATAAATATAACTGATTTTTTCCCTATTTAGGTCGTTTTATAATATTTTCAATGACGATATCTTCTTGTGGATAATGAATCATTTCTATTATGTAGCTCACTTTCTATAACTTGCTGAAAAGGTTGAGTAACACTTGTTTATTGAACCAAAAAGGGTGGCGGGATATCCACTCTTATTTCTTTAAGGTCTATATTTCTTGGTTCTTCACTCCCATTGATTTCGTCATTTTCTAAAAATCTGGCATTGTCGGTTTCAACTATTCTCTTATCATGGTTAGGATAGTAAAATTTATACCATTTAGACTTATTTGGATAACCAATAAAATATCCAGATATTGTCCTTAAGTCTAGCTTTTTCTTATGAGAATTAAATATTTTTTCATCCGCTAAACAACCCCATATATATAAATGTCTTAAACTTGGTTTTCTACCAGTCCATAACTTGAAAAGTGTTGTAGATATTGCCTTACTAGGAACTCTGTTCAAGATATATATTACGGTCTTTAAGGCTCACCCCATAAAGAAATAAGAAAAAAAGAGTAACTCATCGTACTACTAACAATTTATATTAAAGTACGATTACGCCTTTCAACAACACCATTCTAATTGTCTCTCAACCTCTGTGATGTACACCTCAAAGATGTCAATGGTTTAAGACTTATCATGTATTAGATATACATAACTATACCGAGATATATCATCTATAAAAGTGATAAAATATCTCTCTTCAGTGAAACAAGAAATGAAGAGTGGTCCGTAATTGTCCGTATGAATTATCTCAAGAAGCTCATTATCTCTTATAACATATTTCTTTGTATGTTTAGTTTGCTTTCATTTTATGCAATCTATATATACTTAAAAATCAGTAAGGTCAAGATTTTATAAAATTCTATCATTCACTAATCTCTCAATACTTTCCTTAAAGATATGTCCTAGACTTTTATGCCACATGAATAAAGGATTTACATTAATTAAGCAATGTGTTGAGCTAATATTTGAATCTAAGGTAACTAAAGTTTGTGCAAATTCATGATTCAGACAAATTTTATATAAATCATCATATAAAATGCTAGAACCAATTGTCATTAAATTAAATACTAAACTTGATTTTTCACAACTAAAATAAATTGAA